TTGTCACAGATTACTTCAATCATTAATTAATACAATCTGTTGTCCGAAAACAAAGAAAGCTCTGGAGAACAAAGAAATCTCCAAAGGAAGTGGCTTCAGATAACAGTAAGCCATAAACCTAGTTGGCCAATCGGCATATAGCATATTACACACGTGATACATAAATATTCATAGTAAAAGATTTGCTTAGCGTCCCCACGCTAGCGGCAAACTCGAAGACAGTAAATAATTCGTGATAATTATAATACTTATGCTATAATTAAAAATTATACTATACTCTCAATTTACTATCCATATACTGTAAATATAGGCAAAAGAGGGTAAATTATCATGTGTAGTCTATGAATGATCACAAATATTAACCAGAACATATGGATACTAAATTACAAGCTCCTACATGATTACAACATTATACGTCTAGCTTTGTACTTCATTAAAGACATAAATCAATGCATGTTTACTAAATCAATAATTAACTATTAGGTACAAAATATTATTAAATAATCTAAATCTACTTATTATAATCGTTAACTCACCAGTCATTGACTGCTACTGAAAGCCATGTAAAAAAGGTAAAGCATTTACGCTCGCACGTTGGTAACTTTACCAGCAAAGTTTCATGCGTCTTTCTTAGACCGATACATGCTTACGAGTAACGCGAATTTTCAAAGTTCGCTCCGCCTCACAATGCGCACAAAAAATGGACGATGAGGGCGCGCAGCACTGGAGAGATCTAACACTCCCCACGCTGAAATCATAAAAACAACACAGGATTTCAGAACTTTATTCACTTAACTACAACTAACAATGTTATTATTACAAATTCGCAACTACTGCTTCTTTGCAATGGATCCTCTGTATATTATACATAGCTTGGCGATTGGACGTCTTAGAACACCTCTTGCTACCTTGACATCGACACTGCGTACTCTTCCGTCCTGGCTTCTATAGACAGACAGGACTTTTCCCATCGGCCATCTTCCTCTGGGAAGGGTCTCATTTACTAAAAGAACAATGTCACTTACCTCTACGTTTTGTCTTGGTGTTGTCCATTTGTGCCGTTTCTGAAGAAGGGGAAAATATTCCCTCTTCCAGCGGGTCCAAAAAAGCGAAGCTAAATACTGTACCTGGAGCCAACGCCTTTTGCCATAAGCTTCAATTCTACCTACAGGAGCAAAAGGGCCCTTTCGCATTAAGAGAAGGTGATTAGGTGTCAATGGCTCATCGTCATAAGCTTCTGGTGATAAGTCTGTGAGTGGTCTAGAATTCAATATTGATTCTGCTTCGGCTAAAACCGTTAGTAGTACATCATTGTTAATCACCTGTTGTTTAAGAACATTACACAATATTTTTCTTACCGATCTTATTAGGCGTTCCCAAACGCCGCCAAAGTGGCTAGCTGCAGGTGGGTTAAAGTGCCACTCAACACCCTTGGTATGAAGGAATTCTTCTACGACACTTTGGTTCATATCAGTCAAGGCTTTTCTAAGCTCTTTTTCACCTGCAACGAAGTTAGTTTCGTTATCACTGAACATTTTTGACGGTTCGCCACGCCTGGCCACAAATCGCCTGTAAGCGTTTATAAAAGAATCTGTGCTTAGACTATCAGCAACCTCAAGGTGGACAGCCCTTGAAACAAGACAAGTGAAAATACATCCATATCGTTTGACAGTAGAACGACCTTGTCGGACGTCTAGGGGACCGAAATAATCAACACCGGTGAAAGTAAAAGGTGGTTTATCTGCAGTGATGCGTTCGACAGGAAGAGATGCCATCTGCTGTTCACACCTTCTTGCATTCATTCTTTTGCAAGTAACGCAGTTTCTAAGGATGCCTTTAACCACTGATCTACCTTTTAGGATCCAAAATCTTTCTCGGAGAGCGTTCAATGTTGCTGTCCATCCATTATGTCCAACCTTCAAGTGGTAATACATCACTAGTGACTTGACTAATTGACTATCGTTAGCCAATATAATTGGGTGTTGGGCATCATAGTCGATTCTAGCACGATCAAGCCTACCTCCTACTCTAATTACTTGACCTATCAGTACTGGATTCAGATTCTTGAGTCGCTCGTCTGATTTCCAGTTCGGGAACGACTGCCTTTGTCTCCATGAAATAATCATTGTCTCACTTTCTTGCAGTTCTGACACAAGCAGGTTGCTTGTTACTACGGGTTGATGTCTCACCTTGAGTCTGAGGGATTTTACAAATCGTAAGATCCACCCAAGGACACGTACAAGCTTCGACCAAGATGAGTACTTAGATGTTAACCTCGCCGCCATAAGACGACCATCACCTATCGTTACCTGGTTTACTACCACCGACTTTTTAATTTCTGGGTCATGACTTACCTGATCATTTTCGATATATCTGGATACGGGCCAGTTTGATTCGTCTTTTGGCAAGAATTCTGGGCCTGTTAACCACTTACCTAATTCGTATGTGCCCCTGGAACCTTCGTCAGCGGGGTTTTCTTCACTTGGTACGTGCCTCCATTGGTGTTTATTAGAGACGCTTAGTATCTTAGATACTCTATTAGCTACAAAGGTTTTGTAGCGACGACTTTCATTTCTGATATAGCTTAGGACTATCATGGAGTCGCTCCAATAGACTGTTTCCTTAAATAAGAAGGCAATTTCCCTTCTGATGGTGCTATCGAGCGTTGCAGCTAATACTGCAGCCATTAGCTCTAACCTAGGGATAGTGACAAGTTTAATTGGTGTAACCCTAGCTTTACCAAGAACAAATTCTACAGAAGGTTTCTTACCTTGATTCTCAACGCGCAGATAGGCCACAGCAGCGTAACCCTTCTCCGACGCATCGCAGAATATATGCAGTTGAGCATCTGTATTTGAGTCGAGTTTCATCCACCTAGGTACACTAACCCGTGACAATATTGATGTCCGTTCCATCCATTTGTTCCAGGTCGCCCTTTCACTGTCGGTCAACGGCTCGTCCCAATCCGCACCTCTCCTACACACCTCCTGAAGGAGGGATCTAGCTAATAAAACATATGGAGCAGCCATACCTAAAGGGTCGAAGATCGAGCTGGTAATTGAGAGCAATCCTCTTCGAGTCGCTGGTTTTTCTTTGGTCGCTAGTTGGAATGTAAAGCTGTCCTTACCTGCGTTTCAACATACACCTAGAGTCCGCTCTGTAGGCAGTTCGTCAAGTGAAAGTGAAAGAGATGGAGATCGCTCAGTCTCTTGTACGCTGTCGATAACTTCTCGTTCATTGCTTAGCCATTTTGTAAGCTGGAAGCCAGCCTGACGTAAGATGTTGGTTAATCTACTCACCAACCTAATGGCAGTCTGGTTGTCCTTTGCTGTGGCAAGACAATCATCCACATAGAAGCTAGTTCTAATGACTTCAATGGCTTGTTTTCCTATCTCGTCACTGTTGGATGATTCACAATCATCAGCTGTCTGTTTCAGTGCTTTAAATGCACAACAGGGAGATGAAGTTGCACCGAAAAGATGTACACACATTCTATAATCACTGTATGGTTTACGCATGTCTCCGTTTGCCCACCAAAAAAATCTGAGCACATCCCTGTCAGATTCTCGCATTCTAACCTGGTGAAACATGGATTTTATGTCGGCAACTACGGCCACTTTGCCTAGCCTAAATCGAAGGAGAACGCCGAGGAGGTCATTCACTAGGTCTGGACCCTTTAACAACATGTCATTAAGAGATGTTCCTGCATATTTCGCCGCACAATCATATACGACTCTGACCTTTTCTTTGTGGGAATGTACAACAGGGTGGTGTGGTAAATACCATACATTACCCGGTTCACCTTTGTCCTGGACAGGTTTGGCATAGCCATCTGCAATATAGCCCTCAATAACAGAAACATACTTACCTTTTAGGTTTTCGTCAGCAACGAGTCTCCTTTTTAATGAAGCAAGTCTGGACTCACTCTGTTGTTGGGCAGATGATGTTCATCGTGTTTCCATAATAACCCCATCTCATAATGGTTGTCGTCCGTCTTCCTAATCGTCGACTGAATAATGCTGTCTCTTATACACATCTAGATGTGTATAAGAGACAGCATTTAAGTAATATAACATTCTGTTCATACGTACGTTCTTGTCCTCCGGGTCCCATGACAGACCATCCAAGGGGTGTCTTTACTCCGTATGGATCTCTGGGTTTACCCTTTCTTTCATCTAGTACCCAGAACGCTTGAGGAGAATCTGCTCCTATTAACAAATCTACCTGAACTGACTGTGGGTTCTCCCAAGGGAAGGACTTCAAGTGTTGCCACTTACCTAGTTCCTCCACAGTAGGGAAACTTTCCATCGGGGCTGGTATCTTAGGTACGGTGAGAAATTCAATGTTCATTTCTTGACATTCAAACTTACCTTTGACTGCGAGTTCAAACTTCCATCCTTCATTTTCTATGTCACCGTTAATGGTGGATGACGTGTACTTAAGACTCTCGCCTCGAGTTCCCAGTTTACGCCTTAAGTCTTCAGAACACAAGCTTGTGTCTGAGCCATGGTCTAACAATGCTAAAGTACTTACCTGACTTCCATTGTTTGCTGTTACAGTCACTGGCAAGATCCGCATGAAGACCTTATTGCCACTTGAAACAACTCCAGGGTTAACTCTCGTCGCTTCAGATGGTGGGGCTGGTGGATGAAGCAGGTTATGGTGTTTCTCCGATGAGCATTTGCAGGTCCATCTTCTTGGACATCTTGAACTAACATGGCCAGCTACCAAACATCTAAAACATAGTCTCTTGGCTCTAGCTAACTCTATTCTCTTATCATAATTGCTGTCAAGAAAATCTTTGCATGTATATACTTGGTGGTTACCACCGCAAATAAAGCATTTAAGTGCTTTCGTATTTATGTTATTCGATCTAACATTAGCTTGTTTCTGAATTTGCCTGTCATTAACATTTCTGGATTTAGATAGGTTTTTTCCAAACATAGTAGATGAGATTTCAGCATTCTTAACCAACAGTCCTAGTAGATCATTAAATCCAGGTTCTCTGCTTTCGTTAGTTAATATCTCATGAGCTTTCTTGACCCATGCAGTCTGTAAATGGTTAGGTAAAAGATCCTGGACCTTCAACAAGTTAGTAGTACTGTTTAGATCATTCGTATAGCCTAGTTTAGTTAGAGTGACATAGCACTTCTTCATGGAAGCAATTAGATCCCATAATGCATCAGAGTCATTAGCTCTGACGGGTCTCCTATCTGCAAGCTCGCGCATGAGAGCGTTCAAAATCATGTGAGGCTGCCCGAACTGAGTCTTCAATACGCGCTTGGCTTCAATGTAGCCTACATCACCGAGCAAATCGCAACAATCAATATAGCTACGCGCTTTACCTTTACACATTGACTTAAGATGTTGTAAGCGAGTGGCATTGCAAGTTAGTTTAGATTCAATGTTAATTTCAAAGTTAGTAATAAAGGAAAAATACTCAATAGGATCGCCACTAAACTTGGCGTATTCTGCCTTGGGCAGCTCTAAAGCTAGCTTAATTTCGTTAAAATCACTTAATCTATTTGACGATATGATTACATTGCTAGCACTATCATTACTGGCACTAATATTAGCGCCGTTACCTGAGGTAGTTGCCTTTTCGGGTAACGATACAGTGTCCTCGACACCTTTTGCTGGATCAGCCTTTTCTTTAATGAAGGTTTCAGTCCTCAGTCTAACCTCAAGGAAAGCTGCCTGGACTTCCTCCATCCATTGCTCCTCTTTTGCGAATGTCTCATCATCTTCGATTTCGTCTGTCAAGTTGCGATGTGCGACTTCTACCGCTTCGAATGAAGTTGTAACCTTTGCAAACAGGTCTTCTAACGTCTCGACGCTTACCTCCTTTTCATCGAGCGCTGCCTTCAATAGGTTCACTGCTCGCGTCACTGTGCCTTTACAGTTTCTCCTCTGCCTTATCAGCTGGGTAGCCATGATAAACTGTACTTCTATTCATGATTTCCTGGCGAATAACTCACTGGTACAATTTACTTACTGCGTATTCACTCACTGTAACTGCTCTTGGGCTCGGAGCCAGTTTGGGGTGTAGAGGGCGTCTTTGGTCATTCACAAAAACTCGAACAAGGTAACAATGCGACCATCAGTTAAGCAATCTCAGCCTTTATTTGTTTCAACTGTGTCTGTTTGACTACCAAATCGGTTGTCCGATCTATTGTTCGGTGACTAAATACAAAAGTACAAATACGAATAATTAATATAAAAAATATAGATAAAAAATAGATAAATAAAATAAGTAAACAAGTAGAAAATGAATCATCGATAGTACATAAAAAATCATGAAGTTACACTCGTGTAAATACATTATTGCAATACTGCAAGTAAACAACTGATCATTTAAACCCTTCACAGTAAATTACAAAATGTATTATTAAAAATGTTCAATAATGAGAAAACTGACAATGTATAATATCAATACAGTACAATAAACTGTCTCATCTTAATAATCGATTAAATACAGTATTAAATAACCTTACGTGAATATGACCGCCTTTAGCCTCAAAAACTCATGTTAATCTTCTTAGTTAACATTATCCGTTCTGTAACATAATTAATGTTAAATGAATATAATATGTCATTTACTTTAAACATAACAATATAAAATACATCGGATCATGTACTAAAGTCTTAATTGTGATTACTGAATCATACAAAACATTGTCACAGATTACTTCAATCATTAATTAATACAATCTGTGTCCAAAAACAAAGAAAGCTCTGGAGAACAAAGAAATCTCCAAAGGAAGTGGCTTCAGATAACAGTAAGCCATAAACCTAGTTGGCCAATCGGCATATAGCATATTACACACGTGATACATAAATATTTATAGTAAAAGATTCGCTTAGCGTCCCCACGCTAGCGGCAAACTCGAAGACAGTAAATAATTCGTAAAAATTATAATATTTATGCTATAATTAAAAATTATACTATACTCTCAATTTACTATCCATATACTGTAAATATAGGCAAAAGAGGGTAAATTATCATGTGTAGTCTATGAATGATCGCAA